TCTTTTCCAACCTAAATGATTCTATGATTCTAAGAATATTCACAATTAACAAATGAAGTGAACACTGAATGACAAACTGATCCAGAGTTTGCAGCTGGTATCGGTAGTTGCATTGTCTCATCTTCCAAAGGTGTCTGAAATGACTGCTAAAATAGTTCATTGTGAACAACTACTTCCAAGGTAGGATGAAGCCTGGGAGTCTTATATGCAGTTGCCACTCAATCCTTTGTTTGGAGCGTTACCCTAATTCTCTAAAGTAAAATTCTTCACATGTGCAAAACTAAAAGGAGCTTTTAAAGAATGCATGAGATTCAGTTGTTGTGTCTTTCACAATGTTTTGCATTTGTAAGTTCAAGATGATTCAGTTGTACTCAAAAGCTCTGTATGCATTACAGTTTTTGGTTGTGAACGTGTAGGCGGCACAACCAATTCTTGACCTCATGACAGTTTTAACGTTCTTATTGCAGCATTACATTGTATGTCCAAGAGAATGAAGATGTAGGCTGTCTACACAGACTGGACATGTATACACTTCATGCACAACTTAAAGATACACAAGTATCTCCCAGCTCCTGCAATGTATGTGGAACCTGCTTTCAGAAACTTGCATGGTGAAACTATTGATCATACACTCAGTAGGGACAAGGTGACTCTAGTTTTATCTGATGAAAAGTCTACAAGCTATAAAAGCAAAGGTGTTGAAAACAAAAGACAAAACTAGGCTGGAACCTAGAGTTGCCAGTACTGGAATAACTTGAAGATGAATATATGTTATAAATAAAAAAGAGATTATTCGTGTGGAAAATATTTTAGGGCAATGAAACAGTCATTCAAAGTCAAAAATACACATTCTATTAATATGTATTCTGATGTCACTACTGCCAATGTCTGACTCAGAATCATTTCTCAGAAAGGATTATTCTTTTCCAGTAACTTGTATAATGTGTTTACTATGAAACAGTAAACAAATGTCATTAAGATTAACTTTGAGCAAAAGAATAGTTTTGATAATGTCTGAATTCATTTGGCTTCCTGTTAGAGTGGCCACTTATCCTAACCAGAGTTGAAATGTTTCATACACACATATCACTGCAGGTACAGGTGTACTTGCCTTTGGATCCCCTTAGTCAGTAGCATCCATTGGATTTCATGGGCAGGCTCCTGCTGCCTGCCCTTTGAACAACACATTTCCTGAATTTTTGGATGTTCTACATGAACTACAGGACCTGATATCCATAGAGGAGGAAGGGTAACTGGGATCTCCAGGAGCAAAAGCTGCTGCAACATATGAAATTTTATTTTCCCTTGCATGAGAATTTGCTGTAACAGAACCCACTGTAATCAAGTAGGTAATCAACTGATTAGCAGGCAACAGAAGTATATTCCAGACAGCAACTATGGAACAACCCTACAAAGTGGGTCTGTGGTCTATAAGATGTCACAATAAAGAAGTAACAAGTAAACACAGGTAGAGAACTCCTAACAGATAGTCAAGCACAGCATCTGTTGTGTATTTGTAACTCTCCTGTGGTGAAAGCGTCACTCAAATATATCCCAAAAATTAGAATTATAATAATTTTAAAACAAGCAAAATCAACAAATTGTTACTAAACTCATCAGGAGTCAGTTATTTCATACAAAGGTAAAATCCAGTAATACTACTGCTTAATTAATACGTAGGGTTTGTGCCTGTTTCTGGCAACTCAGCAGGATCTGGAAGCTAATGCAGGCAATAGCTTGAAGCACTCCAGGTATTTAAAGACTGTCTTCCACAGAAGTGTTATGTTGCTTGGAGACATATGCTAACAAATATTTATGATACTTTGTCTGGAAATCTGAAATGATCTTTAGCAAAAAGGTTGAATAAGGTCAGAAACTGTGCTGATTATTTTACAGAGAAAAGGCAGGTATAGATACCACATAACAGAACCGAGAGCCCATAGCTCTTCAAAGATACTAAGTAGCATACACAGCAGTGACGTTGAGTATTTCCATGAAACAAGAGCAAAGCCAAACCTTCTTGTTAGCTTTCACACCAGTTTCTTTAGAAACTCCTTGCTGCTTTGAAACAGAACCCGATGAAGTGTCACTGAACAAAGATGGCATGCCCGAAGCAGAAACTATCTTTAATGTCTAAGCTTTGTTTCCAGTGTATGTGGAAGGGTAAGAAGGAGGAAGCATATACCTACCCCATCCTCAACTGAATTGCAATGCAGAGTTTTTTACAAATTACAAATACCAGATAACATGCTTTATTCCTTCTTTGGATGCATAATTAGCAACTTCTGTTTTGCAGGTTTCAAGAGCTCTTCCCATTTTTCAACTGGCCTTGAATTGACTATTTCCATGCCCTTTCAAGGTGACCAGCCAAATTGTTCTAGGACCCCATAGATGAAGAGTTGTTGTTTCAAGGATAAAGGCTTCCTGAGGAGGTCTGGTTCCTCACTATCTGCTCCTACAGGCAACGCAACAACAATATGCCATTGGGATGAGGTATTACTCAGCATGTGTAAACATCAAGTGACATGTCAGATGTACTAGGGTATGTGACCTGGTTTCCAGTGTCTGTTCCAAAAGAGTATGGGCCTCCTATGGGTCTCATGTCATATGTGTCAGCCCTGGGCGGACATCTCAGATACATCAGGTAGCTAAACTGATATCAGATCTTTATGTTCAAGCAACTTGAGTCAGGCCTTTAATGTCCAGCGTCCCAAAGAAGACTAAGAATAGCTGACAAAGTAAACGGCTCTGGGCTCCAACGGACTTTTGTGTAACAGACTTTGAGATGACTGACCCTCTGCCTGGGTCTATCTGAATCCAAGACCCAGGTTTACTTGAACACACCATCTTTCACTGTCTTTTGGGGAAGATTTCAGCTGTTATATACATGCAAAAAAATTGATCGACCAGACATTTAGTGGATTTGCCCCACAACCACAAAACAGCCAGCATTTTCTCCAAGGAACTTCGTGTTTCTGCTGGTAAATCTCTTCTGGCTCTGGTCCCAGTCACTGCTAATCAGTACAGCCTCTTTTCATGGAAAATAATTTAAGTCCAACTGTCTGGAAAGCTGAGACAGACGCACACAGAGAGCAAAGACGCAAAATACAATACAAAATATGTCTTCAGGAAGGCACACTTTGCCTATTTAGTATTTAAACCTGTCCAAGTACATAGGTACCAAGAAAAGTTGCTATTACAAGATTCCTATATTCTGATGAGGCACTGCACCTAGAAAAGGATGCTTGCACAACAAGTTGGGGGGGGATGTCCACTGGATAATTTGCTTGAAATTCTACTTGATAAATCAAATCTAATTAATCCATAGAGCACCAGAGTGACATGGTTAAAGATAGCTCAGCTGTCTCTCCATGGCATTGTAGATTCTTTACATATCAGTACATGGACGCATATTCTATTCTTGGTGAATTATTTGGAACAGTAGTTGGATCCACATCATTTATATCGTCGTTTCAGTGCAAAAATATATTCCAAAATTAATAAGTCCACTGACAAAAGCTCTAATAGAGGACACATCAACAACTTGCATACCTCTAACTGGTAAGCAGATAGTGACAAGGAATTAAGAAGAACGTGGTATTCTGTGAAAAAATTATCCTAATATTAATAAAGGGCTTCTAGCTTTTCATGAAAAATTCTCCCAGTGACACTTGCCCAATTTATGGATACATAGTTGAAAAACCTGATAATTGTATTCTTAGACAGAGGTTTCTTTCTAACCTCCCTCGCCTGAAGTGTCCTCAGCATAGTTTTCTTGATGTGGATATCTCTAATATATATTGTACACATACACGCAAAGTCATATATTTTTATAGTTTGTGATACGGAGTCACATACAGTTACTGCATGGTTCTCCTCACTTGGAAAAGTTGTGTTTCAACAGAACTCTTTCGATATAGCACTGTTTTCCACCTGCATAACTTGCTTTCTCACAAGTGTGTTATATCATGGTATCTTTTAATTTTAAAGCTCTGCCCCAAGCATAGCCATGCACGCTTTAATTGAAAATGACTGTGAATGAGACATGAAAGATAAAATCAATTACCTGAATCCAACATTAGAGTGCAATGCAATATCCCAAGTCTCTTGGCACAAACGACACTGATTCATAGGATTGTGAAGAACCATTAGCAAACAGTTATCTTGGGTATGATAAAAGGAATCAATACATCTATATTCTTGGGATGCGGTATGAAGAACCTGAAAAGGAAAGAAATAAAGGTACATCCTCCCTGCAGCCAGTAGCATATGCACAGATGCTTCACAGCACAGCTTTTAGCAAAAGGTGCTTCAGAACTTCATTCTCCTACAAGATGTACGCAAAGCCTTTGGATTCTAGCAATCTGAAGTGTTCAGGCAGGTGGAAACTGAAACTCCACTGCTATTCATATTGAGAAGAGGCAGTCACTATATTCCACCTTCTGAGATGGACCATGACTGAAAAAGTTCAGCTAAATAATAAACAAATAAATTTACATATTAAATAAATTTAAATAATGAAGTATTTAAAGAAATAAATAGTAAATAAAAGCAGAACTATCATATACCAGGTAAAATGAAAACAAATTTCCTTTTTTTTTTTTAGCTCAGTTAAGTTTACTTGGTATTCAATTTGCTATACTATGACCTGCATATCTCTGAGATTTACTGTGTTCTACACTATTCCAGTCTGTTCTGTACTGCCCCATCATTTTCAATGTTTACATTGTCTGCAGGCTGAAACTTACTTTATAGCTATAGCTAGAAGAAAGCCTTCTTTGAAACTATCATTTTTACAGAACTATGCAACTGAGGTAAAACTGAAATAATCCCATATCAACAAATATTATCTTTAAACATGAAAACCTTAATATCAGCTGGTGTAAAAATTATGTTCAGATGTGACACGTAGTATAAGGAAATAGGGAAATATTCTTACAAAATGTTATTTTCTGTTGCAATAAAATGTTAGTTTCCGTTGCAGTTATTTTCCATCAGTATCTTTTGACTACATTCACTAATTATTGACGGTTCAGTTACTATTTATTCTATTTAGTCTATTTATGCCGCATAAGAAGGAATTCCCCATGTACTGAAACGTATGACCAGACTTTAAAGTTGTGATGCTAAAGTGGTGCTGAAAAAGTCCAAGCAGACTTTTTTTCACCCATGTATAGCATGTGTCAGGATCAAATACGAAATGCAGCATATGAAGCTCAAGGCAGCACAGGAACTAATAATCCACTCCTCCCAAGAGAATGCCTACCAACTTAAGCCATCGACAATTGAACTTATCTTTCACATTTGTCATTCTGTCTTTCTGCAAGATGAGTTTTCATGTTTAGCTTGCAAGATTTCTATAAATGAAGCTTGTAGTCCTGAAAGGGTGAAGTACCATTACAACAAAATTTTCTGTTTGCCCATAAAACATATAGTGCATAGGTATTTGAAAAGTATGCTTTCACATACACTGCACTAATGAGTCCCATACCTGCCAGGGAGGATCACACCTAAGGGCAAGATCATTTTGTCTCCATCACGCATTTAGCTAAAAGACTCACTACCAAAAAGGACAGCTGCAGTCTGGCCAAACCAGGAAATAAAAAACCCATTACAAACTAAATTTCACACAAGAAACTGAAAAGCAGCTAAAGAACAATGGGTTTGGGATAAAATTGAATCAATTCTCTAGCAAGGAAATACCCTGTACTCTGCTACTAATTCTTTGTACAGCATTCTGAGGGGTGACTGTATGTATAAGATTGTCAGTTCACAGATACCTGAAGAAGAACATGAGGTTGAAAATGCTCAGCAAAACTCCAGTCTGTCAAACAACGCCTCTGTGTCTTTTTTATTTCTTCTAAGTTTGGTCCTAGGCCATAATTTTCCGGACTCACCTCAAAATACACCAAAACAGAATAATGAATATCAACATTTCAGTGTCAGTTGTACTAAATTAACTGTAATCTTGTTGACTTAATAGACAGCATCCCATGTTGCACCACAGTTAATTGCATAATGCTGCACATGTGTAGACCTGTATGGCACTATTTAATAAAAAACACAATTACTCCCAAAGGTTTTTGGTCTTGGCTTTTTTTATGGCAAACATAACCTAAATATTTTTATTATTAGGTTATATGTTTTTGAGTTCTGTAAGCAATTATGAATATTTAAACATGTCCTATGAAGTAATTTCAAAATTGCTATATTTATCCAGGGCTGTACGGCAGGCAGGTGTTTCTGAAGATGCCAAACTACACAGTCTATTAATGTAACACAGTTTGGCAATTTCTCTCAATCTCTCATGCTAGTATTTGATCCCTGGTATTCAGTGAAACCAGCATAGAATTGTCATTAGTAGCTTCACCAAGATCCATCACCTTAGAACTCAAAGAAAGTGATTTCATAGTGCTTATGGCACTATTTGCCAAACATCTCAAAATTAATATTTGCATAGAATCATAGAATGCTTTAGGTTGGAAGGGACCTTGAGAGATCATCGAGCCCAACCCCCCTGCAGTAAGCAGGGATTGAACCTGTGAACTTGGTGTTATTAGCACCATGCTCTAACCAACTGAGCTAACCCAGACAAAGGAATCCCCAGCAACATCCTGGCACTGAACAGTATCTTCTGTTGTCTCATGCTACAGAGCACGTTTTATTCCATTCCTCACACTTGCCATATCAGAAATAAAAAGATCCAATTCTTTGTTCAAAACAGGATCAGCCAGACCATCTCTTCCATCTTTGCCATTTGTTTCTGCATGTCCTGGAAATTGAAAGCAGAATTTTAAGAAGCGTTCCAGAAATTTCAGCCCTAAACACTAAGGTTGGAGTGATGCAATTTCCTTTGCCATCAAGTTGAAGCTTCCTTTTATGACACTAGTCCAATAAATACATGATCAGCTCTACCACACTTCTTTCCTAAAAGAACACTTTAAAATCCATGGACAACAAGTGCCAGACAGCTCATTTAAAAAAAAAAAAAGAACTAACAGTTTATAAGACCCACTTAAATCATCCTCTTATTTGTCCTATGCTGGCCTTGCATGGTCAAAAAGATTAAAAATACTCCAAAGAGTGTCCTCAAGACTCATATATGAAGAACCATCTTTCTGCTTGTTATACAAGAGAATCAATAACAAGCATTCCTTTGCACAGATGACATAAAAAAGAAGGCAAAATCAATTGTTTTCATATTTTCACATATTTTTGAAAAATGTAACATTTTAAACTTGAAATTAATTGGATTTATAGAGTTCTACAAGCTACTGACAGAATATTACTTCTGCCAAGGATCTGACCAGTTATTCCTGATAAATTATCATTGTTACAATGGGCACCTGATGTGAATAGGATCACATGGAGACTAACTTCTATGCTCCCATAATTTTTTAAAATAATTTCCTTTTAATATAATTATTTATGCCCAGAACTAGGGCAGAGGTCACTAATATTTAATCAAAATTCACATGTACAAGAAAAATACTCTTCCTGGGAGAAAACACTCTGGAGAGTATATGTTCGTAAGTGGCTCATAACCAGCTCAGCTTCCAGACGTATACTGCTCTGCTTCTCTAGGAAATTAGACCTGTTTACTGCCTTTAGAAGATTTAATAAATCTGAAAGCAAAAGTTTTCTCTTCCTGTATTTGCTTTAGTGTCACAGAAGTGATGAAATGTTGGAGGCTATGTTTGTAACTGCAATATTTAGTATTGTGACTAGCATAAAAATGAAATAAACTAACACCCAAAAAAGGTTCCCAAAATTCAGAAGACAGGCAGATAAGCAGGATTCATTTTGTCTGCTCCAACCTTCTAAGGAAAGAATCCCATCTAAGTTGGTTGCCTAGGCTTCTATATTAGGAAAGCATGGGCAACATCATGAATCTAAAGGTGTAGCAGCTTAAACTGACCTGATTTCTATTTTTTTCACATCCCAGAAAAATAATCTAATTTTTAATGTTGTTTCTTGGCCACACTGCTCCAGGCCAACAACTTTTCATTATATTAGAATCTGCAGAAGGAGAAGATGTAGAACTTGCAGAAAATTCACTCTGCATTGTCTACAAGAGATCTCCATCTCTGATCCTTCTATCTAAAATGTTCCCATTCTAATATGAATGAGATAGTTATAATGGCTCAAATGTCACATCGTAACTTGCTAAAGATATACTAATCGCACAGACTGTAAATGACGTAAGAAAAAAAATTTACAAGGAAAAGTATGTATGCATGTGTAATTACAACATATAGCACACCTTTTTTTAATTTGCAACTTTCTATATCACTTTCTAGAGTCCTCGTGTAAGTTATATATCCTTTCTACTTCCTAATACTCATTCACTAGTAATCATCTAGTAATCATCTAATTAACCTTATACATCACTTTTGATTTCACTCTGTGATTGTTACTGAGTTTGTAAAGACTCAGCTGCCATCATAACTCACAAGAGCCTGTATTCAGAAAGGTATTTAAGCATGTCTTCAGTATTTTATGTCTCTAAAATATATTTGATGCTATAAGCAATAAAACAGTTTTCTAGTACATATTTTTCTACAGATATAATTTTAAAGAGTTGCTTAAATAAACTGTTAATGTTATCATACGAAATAGCTGGCTTTTGTCTTTATCTAGTAATTCTACATAGATACTCACTGTACAGACTATACAATACTTGAAATTCAGCAATTTGTACAAGTAAGAAAAATCACAACCCTGAAATAGCAAATGATATGGCAAAAAAAAATAATGGATTTAAATTCTTCAGCAGTAATGTAAACAGAGAGGTTTTTACCAGAGCCTCTTGGAGATTTCCCACTAAGCTTCTTTTCCATAAGGAATAGTTGTCTCAGTTGTCTTGCAAACTGGGCTGGGTTATCCCAAGGGATATAAGACACTTCAGAATCACCTCCAACCATAGATCCAGAGCTCTCCAGGAGACCAGAGTCACTCAGCCCAGTCAGTGTCAGGCTTTCAAAAGTAAACACTCTGAAGGCTCTTTCTACTTCAGCCCAACTCAAAAGTTCTAGAAAAGAATTACAATCATTAACTGAAAATGTCCTTATGGCTCAGCAGAAGATAAATAGAAGACTATGTAAGTGTATTGCTCTTGGCAACTCTGCAAAAGCCAACACCAATTTCCTTAATGGTATTGGATCAAATTATGTGAGCTACATTTTACACTGCATTCAAAGTTGAATGCTTCCAAATTGCAAAATGATATGTCTGACTATTAATCCATCTTAAATGAAGTATTTCCTACATCTGAATACCTCTTAGCTCATTAACTTTATATAAATGATGTTGATTTTAAAATACTGAGTAGACTTTATCAAACCAGTTAACAACTAGTTATTTTCAGTTCATGAAAAGGCTTCCATTATCATAAACTTTTTTATTATCTGTAGCTTCTCAAACCACGCATCAAATGTTTTTTTCTCTTCAGACAAAATTTTACACATAATTTATACAGAAGTATGCAAGATGCAAAGGCAATAATAAATCCTATTTATGGTTATATGCATTCATGCCCGTATAACAATGACAATCATGGGAAGGACTGAATTTTAAGACAGGTAGTTCGGTGCCCAAATCATATGAAGAGTATCTTCAGTTTCTCTTTATGGTAGTTACATACCCAAGCATGTCACACATCTTGAAAAAGTTGGGTAACTCATCTTCTGTTCAAATCAACTACCTTCTTGATAAGAGCAACGACACTGCTAGCTAAGTTAACAGTTGGGAGAGTTTGGCAGTATAGTATGGTGCAGTGAAGACCATCAAATCTGATACCCATCAGCTGGAATGCTAGAGCAATACAGAATACCTTAATAGCTTAATGTCCAAAAGGAACATACCAACAACTAGAAACAATGCAGCAAGTGTAAATTAATCCAACACAAGGGATTTCAGGACTGAATAGCTGTGAATACCTTCAAATCCTGTGCCTTATACGATGGCATAAATCTAACCAAAAGGATTTGGATGTTTATATCTCTTAGTAGTCTAGCATAAACTAGGTAGTTTCAAAACTACCTAAGGGTATTTATGCAGTCTTTGGGATTGTTTCACAGCGTACATCATGGTGGTATGCACACTCCAAGAAAAGGTAACTGCAGGAGTGATTATGGTTGAAGAAGTGAATGCGTTCTTATGTTTGTGAATAAAAACAAACAAATGAGTTCTAACATACTTCCAGCTCTTAGCCACGCAATATTTAATACTCACACAGCCTTGCCCATTAACCATGAAACTGAGGTCTAAAGTTAGCCCTAACTTGTATAGTAGGCTAAGGTATAAGCAAGAATGTGAAAATGGGAAATTCTGCAAAAGTTTTAGACAGCTGAAAAAAACTCTTCCTGCTATTTAATAGGATCATCAACCAGAAGAAAGAAAAAAATCAATGTTATATCAATGAAAAAGAAAATCACTTTACCACTGGTACAATAATGCATGAGCTCGTGAACTCTGGCCAAGCGTTTACTGTTGTTTTCAGTTGAAGGAAGGGTGAAATGGATAAGTTCCGTAAGAGGCAGTTTATCCATCATTTCACGTTCAATCTTTTCTGGATTTAAGTTCTCCTGGACCTGGAACAAAACCCAAACTACCATAGTTAAAGTAAACTTTCACACCAGTGGATTTCTAAAAATTATGTTTGAATAAAGAAGTTTTTTATAGCAAAAGACATAAGTGTGTGCTTCAGTCAGTTGGACATCAACTTAAATTTGAGCATGTGCTCACAGTGTGTTACTGAATCATGGTATCAGATATTTTAGGCAGAAAAGATGAGATACATAAAAGAATAACTGGCAGCATAATAACAGACACTTGTTAGAAGATATTTGCCTGTGCTAGCTAGACTCAAAAAATCTGGAATACAGAAATATGTACTGATCTATTCAGACAGGCAGCAGGTACCCTCCGCATATCTTTCAGCTGGTCTGTGCTACTTCTCGTAGTAATGAAGTCTGTAAAGTTGTTGATCAGCCTGTGACTGCAGCATCCCCGTATATTTAAGGATTTATCTTTTGAGACTTATTGGTGTCTTTCAGCTTCACTCTTTTTAGTATTACGCACTTACAGTACCTTTGTCTTGGATGGTATCTTCCAAATCTGTTTCCTCTACCCACTCCTCCAACATTGTGCTATATCCTGAATTTTCTCTGCAGCAAGTACATCACATACATCAAGCATATGCCTGCTAAGAGCATCTCACTTGGTGACTGCTCAGTCCTACCTTCTGCTTGAGTACCTCCAACGCGCCAAGCTCAATGTGTCAAGATTTGTTTCTGAATACTGTTTTAATCAATGGTTGACAAAGTGTTCCATAGACAATTTGTAATTCATTAAGCCAGGCAAATACACCTTAGATACGAAATCTAGAACTGTATTATCACTTGCACTGCCTTCAGAGTATTTTCAAAGTTTAGTGGTAAAACTACACCCTAGCTTTGGAAAAATTTGATTAATTCACAGTGGGTTTTTTTGTTCAGAAAGTCTGGGAACTGTTACTTTGAAATAATCCCAAACCTTGCAGTCTCTGAACCTTTCTGCCTTTGCTAGAATTTGGCAGTGTCTTGGGTATACACTATGCTCCAACTACTTAGCCAACCTGAACACACTTCTCGTGCTCACTAACAAACTCTATCTTTTCTTATACTTCTCTACCTCTTAGTAATCTAATCTATATGCTAAATCACTATTATCAAGTTAGTAACTCACTTTCCACAGTTTCATCAGTGTTTGACTACAGTAAATCAACAGAGTTCTGTAATATCTTTCATCTATGCCAAAGGCTAAACATTCTTCTTAATAATGCACACAGATCACTGAAATCAATATAATGTTCTGTGTTTGCGATGTGTTCTCTGTCAGCAGCAGTAACTCATTGCTCCTTAAGCAGACTAAACACAT